ACACACAAACACACACACACACACACACACACGAACAAGAAGAAAACTATAGAATCCAATGGGTAGATTCATTGAGGATATGAAGATAGAAGGAAAATTGAAGAGGTAGAGTTCAAGGAACATGACAAATAGAAGAAAATCCAGCAAAGGATTCGGAGATGTTGTTGGAAAGCTTGAGGAGAACAGGCCTTGTGTAGAGCTGAAAGTGGCAAGAGGAAGGAAGGCAACTTTTGGTAAGGAGGGAAAACGTCTGCTTTTGCTAAGACTCTTGCTTTTGAAGACAAAGAAAAAAAAAACATCAGGATAATTAGAAAAGGACTTACACAGCTATACCCCGCTTCAAAACCATCATCAGCTTGTCGTTACAAGCCGTCTGAAACCCAAAGCCCTCTGCTTGGCCTTCAGTGTGCTGGCCCAGCCTATCTGCTCGCAGCCCACCATGTACTTCCCAGGTACCTAGCACACCCTGGCTAATAGGTATTTTTGCCATCCCTGGGCCCATCTACTCTCCCATCCTCATGGCTTTGTTTTCATAGCTGTTTCCACCCACCAAATCCTGACCTTCTTCAAACATTAGTTAAATGCCACATCACTAAAGAATGAAGCCTTTCCTGATCTTCTCTGTCAACCTCCCGACATTTTAGCAGCCTTTTGGTCTTTCTTCTACCCTGGCACAGGAGACCATCTACTTTGTATCAGTGATATGTTCACTTGACTGTCTCCTTCAGTAGACCACAAATTTCTCAAGCACCAAGCAGCACTACTGTGATGTACAACCCAGGACAAACATGATGACACTACAGTCTAGGTCAGGGCATAGCAAATGTTTTCTGTAAAGGACAACATAGTATGTATTTTAGGTTTTACAGGCCACATGGGCTCTGTCACAACTGTGCCATCTTAGTGTAAAAGCAGCCATAAATAATACGTAAATGAATGAGTATGGCCGTGTTCCAATAAAACTTTATAAAACACATAGTGAGCCAGACTTGATCCATAGGCCATAATTTGCTGCTCCCTGAAGTATGGGAATGGCACTTTCTGGAGCACAGTGTGAACAAGGTTCTCTGAAGTATGATCTGGGAAGTATCGATGTGCATCTTTGTTATCCATATACCTTTTGCTCCCCTCCCACCAGCACCTAGTACAGTGCCTTCCACATAGTATGCCCTCAATGTTTATTTTCCTGAATTAAATATGCCTGGAAAGATACCAACTCACTGAGTCATAATAGCATTTTGAGAGCTTAATTACCTTTGAAAACTATTTTTTGCAAGATTGTAGTAAAGTAGTTCAGGAAGCAATCATGTAAGCCCAAGAATCATAAAAAGAATGTGACGGGGAAGATGTGAGCTAACAACATCTAGGGATTAACAGCCAAAGTGAGAGAATCTGACATCAGAGCTGGGTAAAAGCAACAAAAAGGCATTTCAATCCTCAGAGACTAGCACCAAGGGACATCACATCATATGTAATAGATGTTTCACAACACCTTCTAAATCCGTGTGAATAATGCATTTAATGCCAGCACTTCAATGCTGGAAAGATGTTCATGATTTGGAGGAAACTCAGAGACCAACCAAAATGTTTAAGAGACTGAAAGGGCTCATTTATGAGCAGCTATAAAAGAAGCCAAATATGTGCTTGGCCTGCTGATGGCCAGAACGAGTTGGGGAAAAGGCTTACAAATTACTAAATGCTGTAAACACCAGGAACGGGAGGAGTGGCGGTCAGCTGTCTTGGACTTAGCTCTTGGTATGAACATATCTCAGGCACTGACAAATTCCTCTCATTATTGGGTCTTAAAACATTTATGGTCTTCTGAATAATATATAACTGGGAATGCTGTGATTGGTAATGTTCTATTATTACAGGAAAACAGGATTGCTCCAGAAGAGCAAATATAAGACAGATTACAGGGGAACAGGATTGCTCTAGAAGAGCAAACACAAGATAAATGATTGCTTATTAAGGGAAGAAACATTCCAGGCATGCTAAGTGTGCTAAGAGAATTAAAATCCACTCACAGTCCACTCCTAGAAATATCAAATACATGCAACTGCGGGTAAGGTTATATAGTATAAAATTATTGAAATTTAATACAAAGATGGAAAGATGGCCAGATACTTCCTTTATTCCTTCTGTCAATCAATCATTGATTTATCCATCCATCCTACATAGCTAATGCTTACTCACTATTTGCCGGGTCCTATGTTGGTGATACAAAGGTTAATAATATATAGAGCCTGTCTAAAAAACAAAACAAACGGCTTATGCTCTAGTGATAGGGTCAGAGAAGTTCATGGAGTAAAAAGGGACAGGTTCAACAGAGAAAGATGAGAAAGCAAAGGAAAGTGGCTCCTAACTCAGATGAGAGAAAGTAGTAAGGTTGGGGAGGCTTCCCAGGTGAGCTGGCATGAGTCAAGTACTGAAGGATTCTGAAGAGTCTATGAATCAGAAAGAATGAGAATAAGTATCCCAGGTAGGAAAGGTGATATATTCAAAGTGCTGGAGATGATAAAGTGCTGGACCATTTTGTCACAACATATGTGGGACTGACCAGTAGTTCAGGTTGACTGAGACAAATAGTGTAAAGCAGGTGTATCCTTAAAAATAATAACTGGAATATATTAGGATCGTGGATGATTTTTATTTTCCTTGATCTTTCTCACTCTTCCAAAATTTCTCCATTAATAAAATCACATCCTTATGTACACAAATAATTGCAAACGTTTATATAGCACTTATTCTGTACCAAATACTAATCTAAGCACTTTGTATATATTAAGTGATCTTATCCACATAACTCTGAGATAGGTATTATTGTCCCTATTATACAGACAAGGATGGGAGGCAGAAAGAGGTTTAACAATTTGGCAAAATTATAGAGTTAGGAACAGAGTGCTGTTTTCTACTTGGGTCATCTCACTCTGAAGCCTCTGCTTTTACATCTACTGTGTTACTACTAACTTTCTAAGTCAGAAGCCTGTTTTCCTATCATTTATTCCTATAATCCCATTCTAAGGACTGATCTAACAAATAATCAGAGATACAGCCAAATATTTTAGGGGAAGAACGTTCATAGCCCCAAATTTTATAGTAGCAAAAAATAGAACTAAAAATCACCTATATGCCCTATGATACAGAATTATTAATCATCGTCTGGACCATTATGCAAGTATGATTTAGAAGAAAGTTAAATGATGTAAGAAATGCTCACTATAAAGGTCAAAGAGAAATGTAAGATACAAACTATAATCCTAGTAGTGTGTGTGTGTGTGTGTGTGTGTGTGTGTGTGGTGGCAGGGGGAGGGGGGAAGGAAATCCACTAGTCAGACTGGTATCCAATTACAATCTTAGCTCTGCCATTTAATTAGCTCTGTGACCTTGGGTAATAATTTAACCTGTATGTACTCCAGTTTCCTCATCAGAAAATAAGGGTAATACAGTTATTGTAATGGCTAGAAAATACTGGTAAAATGCTTACAATACTGGCTGGTAAATACCCAGTGTCTGCTATCAAAATAATTGGAAACCGTATTTAAAAGTTAGAGCTAGAGGTGCCTGGGTGGCTCAGCTGGTTAAGAGGCAGACTCTTGATTTGGGGTCAGGTAATGATCTCAGGGTCGTAGGATTGAGTCTGCATTGGACTCTGTGCTCAGGAGGGAGTCTGCAGGAGATTCTCTCTCTCCCTCTCCCTCTCCCCCTACCCCATGCATGCTCTTACATTCACAGGGTCTCTTTCTCACTCTCTGTCTCAAATAAATAAAACTTTTTTAAAAAGTTAGGGTGGGGTGCCTGGGTGACTCAGTCGGTTAAGTGTCTGACTCTTGATTTTGGCTCAAGTCATGATCTCAGAGTGGTGAGATGGAGCCCCGCATAGGCTGCCTGCTCAGCAGGGAGTCTGCTTCTCTCTCTCCCTTTGCCCTCCATCACATGTGCGCTCTCCCTCAATCTCTCTCTCTCTCTCTTAAATAAATAAGTAAATCTTTAAAAAAAAATTAGAGCTAGATAGTACACATTCAGCTAGCAGTTTGATAAGCATCCTTTGTAGTCTGGGGTCCAGTAGGTTACAACATCATCTAGTTATTTTAAAAAATAATTGGGAATGAGGTAAGGTGAGTAGCACTTTCCATTGCAAGTAAAAACTATTTGCTTTCAGAATCTGATTTCTCAAACTTTAAGATTATATATACCGAACACTTGGCCAACCATAGAAAGTGCTATAAAATTTCCTTTTTATCCAGATTCCTTCCCAAGACCAGAACCTGATGGGTTGAATATTTTTGAACTGTGATAGTTTAAAACTCTTTAGAAATTTGTTTTCAGGGCAGCCTGGGTGGCTCAGTGGTTTAGCATCGCCTTCAGCCCAGGGCATGATCCTGGAGACCTGGGATGGAGTCCCACATCGGGCTCCCTGCATGGAGCCTGCTTCTCCCTCTGCCTGTGTCTCTGCCTCTCTCTCTCTCCTCTCTGAGTATTCTCATGAATAAATAAATAAAATCTTTTTTTTTTAAAAAAAAGAAATTTGTTTTCATTGTCAGGACCACTAGATTGATGGAAATTACAAATAGGTTTTTGAAGGGCCCAAAGCCACACATGGCTTATTTCTCATCCAGGTTTGGGAATTATCTTAGTTACACTAGCTTTTAAATAGTAAGGAAAAAAATGGAAGGAAATATGCAGTTTCAAAGTTTGTTTTGTTTTGTTTTCCATGAAGGAAATTCTTGTAGTGATCTTCGGAGCTGGTCTCCAGGATGAGGCTACTTGAGCAGATGGGCTATACTGAGAGAGATGAACAAGGGCCTGGGGCAGAGAGCATGTACTTTTCACTGCTCAGCCCCAAATCTGCAAAGTGGAATGGGAAATGCTTAAGCATTCTCTCAAGGAAAGGATAGAAAATCAAGGAAAATGAGGTAGTCTGCTTCTCACAACATTAGGAACCCAATTTCCCCACAGGTTTTCACAGTGGCCCCCTCTCGTCTCTCTCTCTCTTTCAGGTGTCCTACGTAAAGGCGATTGACATCTGGATGGCAGTGTGCCTTCTGTTTGTGTTTGCTGCCTTACTGGAATATGCAGCAGTGAACTTTGTCTCCAGGCAACACAAGGAGTTCCTGCGGCTCCGGAGACGACAGAAGAGACAGAATAAGGTACAGTTGACCCTCAGCACAGACAAAGTCAGGTAGAGCTTGAGGTAGTTAACCAGGCAATGTAATTCAAAAAATAGACTACATGATGAGCGAGATGCTAAGGTTCATTTTTGTCCTGATGTGTCCTACTATACTGGCTTATTGCTTAGGTTCGTCCTTTAAAATTGGGGCAGGGTTGTCACACTTAGAAAATAAAAACATAAGGCATGCAGTTAAATTTGAATTTTAGATAAATAAATAGCATTTGGTATAAATGTGTCCCAAATATTGCATAGGAGACACTTATATTAATAAATTATTTTTACTGGGAGCCCTGTTTTATCAGGCAACTCTAATTGGAGACATATACTCAGTTTGACAAAACTGCCAAAAATCCTGATTTTTTGAACATTAATAATTTGTGTATATGTGACTTTGTGTACATAACTTCTTCGACTGACTTTTTCATCAATTGCTCTGGTTTACGTAAATAAGGTCCCTACCCAGGTTGGTCACAACTTGATAAATCCCATCAAACTGATCTCATTGTCTCGACTTAAACTTTAATGCATAAACTCAAATTTTACACTATCCAGAGGTTAGAGGGTTCAAATAGATGCTCAAAATCATTAGCTCCAGGTTCCTAAATTTTGCCTGCCCATTCGAATAGCCTGGGGATCTTTCAAATATCCCAAATCTTGGCCACACCTTATGGCAATTAAATTCCAATCTTGGGATGGGGCACACAGGAGTCAGGATTTCTGAAATTCCCCCCAGGTAATTTTAGTGTGTGTACGTGTTGGAAAAGCACCACCCTGGTTTATAATCCACTTTTATACAGGACACCAGACAGCTTGCACTTGTTTTCAGTTTCTGATTCTAGAAAAGAAACATGGCCTTTAATGTGGAGGATGCTAGTGCTTGTAACAATGTCACTAGAGAACTAAAGTTAAAGTTTAACACACAGTAAATGACAGGTACTTTTCAAAATCTGTTCCTCTAAAATCTGAGAAATTAAACTTGCTATTGAAGCCATAGTTATATACAACTCTGTTGGAACAAAACCAAAAATGTTTCACTGTCAATGCTCCAAATACCTAGATGCAAAGCTAAACATTTATTGTGATTTAGACGTTGGTTATGTTGAGGAGCTTGCATGTGTATGAGCTCACAGAGTCCTGACCTCATCTACAGAAATGTTTCCTGCACATACTCTGGACTGGTATCTGGCTGGTTGATCTGTTTCTCTTTTCTATCTCTTAGGAACATTTTGTTCTACCACAGCCTAGGGAAACACACACACATATTCTCTTTGCTGTATGCTATTGAGTATCAAGCCTTTCTCAGTTTTCTCTTCTTTGCCTTCTTGTTGATGATAACCATTTCTTCAACCTCATCCAGAGGAGTCTGCACAAAGTGGCACTTGTGCCATGCAGGAATTACTAGAATGTGAGGGTATTTCAGCACATAAACTACATTCCCAGAATTCCCTGGCTTACATAGTAGATGGCCACTGACTGCATACTGTCTTAGACCAGAGATGGAAAATGAGTTTCATTTTGCTTCCCAATTCTGAATAATTGGTAGGACTTCCTTAGAATGCTTATGTGGAAGATTGTTAGGCTGTATTTGTATCGTAAGAGTCACATGGAACACTTGTTAAAAGTAGATTCTTGTACGTTTTCCCAAACCTCCAAATCAGAGGCTGCGGGGGTGGGAGGGGGGGTAGGGGTGGGAACGATCACTAAGAGTTAGTACTTTTCACAGGAGTCCCAAGTGAGTCATATTATAAGTTTGCAGAAACTTGGGCAATATTAGAGCAGTCAGGGGAAAAGAAGATGATGTAGTAGAAAATGAGGTTAGAGGAACAGGTGATTTCAGATTCATATAGGACTTTGCAAGCCGGTATAAAGGGATGGATTTTATTCTAACTGACTAGAATTCACAGATTGGTTTCAACATAGCAAATGCCAGGCTATCAAGTGGATGGTCCACGGGGTCAAGAGTAGCAGCAGCAGATCAGTTAGGAGGCTATTGTAGAAATCTTCCAATTCATGAGCATGAAATGCCTTTCCATTTCTTTGTGTCCTCTTCGATTTCTTTCATCAGGATTTTAGTTTTCAGAGTACAGATCTCCCACCTCTTTGGTTAGGTTTATTCCTAGGTATCTTATTATTTTTGGTACAATTATAAATGGGATTGTTTACTTAATTTCTCTTTCTGCTGCTTCATTATGGGTGTATATAAATGCAACAGATTTCTGTATGTAGATTTTATATCTTGTGACTTTACTGAATTCATTTATCACTTCTAGAAGTTTTTTTGGTGGAGTCTTTTGGATATATATATATATATATATATATAATTATGTCATCTACAAATAAAGTTTTACTTTACTACTTCCTTACCAATTTGGATGCCTTTTATTTCTTTTTGTTGTCTGATTGCTGTGGCTAGGACTTCTAGTACTGTGCTGAATAAAAGTGGTGAGAGTGGACATCCTTATCTTGTTCCTGATCTTAGGGGGAAAGCTCTCAGTTTTTCCTCCTAGAGGATGATGTCAGCTGTGAGTTTTCATAGATGGCCTTTATTAGGTTGAAGTATGTTCCCTCTAAACCTACATTGTTGGAGTTTTTTTTATCATAAATGGATATTGTACCTTGTCAAATGCTTTTTCTCCATCTATTGAAATGATCATATGGTTCTTATTCTTTCTTTTATTAATTGATTTGCAAACATTAAACCACCCTTGAAACCCAAAATTTAATTCCACTTGATCATGGTGAATGATTTTTTTAATGTATTGTTGGATTTGGTTTGCTAGTATTTTGTTGAGAATTTTTACATCTATGTTCATCAGGGATATTGGGCTGTAGTTCTCTTTTTTAGTGGTGTCTTCATCTGGTTTTGGTATCACGGTGATACTGGCCTCGTGAAATGAATTTGGAGGCTTTCCTTCCTTTTCTATTTTTTGGAATACTTTGAAAAAATAGGTATTCAACAACATAAGAGACAAACAGGTGTTGGCAAGGACACGGAGAAAAAGGAACCCTTGTGCACTGTTGGTGGGAATGCAAACTGGTGCAGCTGCTGTGAAAAACAGTATGGAAGTTCCTCAAAAAGTTAAAGATAGAACTACCTGACAATCCAGCAACTGCACTGCTGGATATTTACCCCCAAAATACAAAAACATTAATTCAAAGGGATACATGCACCCTTATGTTTATAGCAGCATGATTTACAATAGCCAAGATATGGAAGCAGCTCAAGTGTCCTTCAATTGATGAATGGATAAAGAAGATGTGGTGTATATACAATGGAATATTATTCAGCCATAAAAAATAACGAAATCTTGCCATTTGCAATGACATGGATGGAGCTAGAAAGTATTATACTAAGTGAAATAAGTCAGAGAAAGACAAATACCATATGATTTCACTCATATGAAAGTTAAGAAACAACAAACGAGCAAAGGGGAAAAAAAGAGAAAGATCAAGCAAGAAATAGACTTTTAATTATAGAGAACAAACTGATGGTTACCAGATGGGAGAAATTGGTGATGGGGATAAAGGAAGGCACTTGCCATGTTAAAACACTGTCAGTTAAAAAAAGACAATGGAGGAGTTGGAAGAGAGGAAGGGAAAGAGGGAGGGAGAGCAGGGCCATTAAGGGTGCTTCCAAGGGAGTTGTAGTGATCAAACAGGGACTCTAAGGTAGTAAAGTGAGAACATGAAGGGGACACTGGCTATTCACAGACTGGCCATTTCACTGAGGGGTCAATGACATGCTGAAATAAGAATATTAAAATAACCGTGCCAGAAGGACAGAAGCCAGTAATGAATGGAAGAGAGAAATAAATGCTCAAAAATCAAGATATCACAGGAGGTAAAGACAAGGACAAGGGTATGACCATGAGCATATGGCTAAGGTCAATTGGAGGGAAAACTGACAGTGAGGCAGTCAGGGAATTGGAAGGCCAAGGATGGGGCCAGTTATCCATTAGATTATTGAAGACCCTCAATGAAAAGTGGCATTAATGGGTATTGAGTTAATAATGAAATAGTTCCTAAAGTCATCAACTACTAAGGGCTGGAAGCTGGTAGATGACACCAGTGATAAAGGAAACCAGTGATGAGGTTGAAAGAGCTCAACTTCAGAGGCTCCAGAGGAGCTGGAGTTAAGGAAGAAAGAAAGCAAGAGAGTTTGGACACTGCAAAGAGGAGCAAGAAGGACACCTGAGATGTCTGACAGTGCTGGGCATTAAGGGGAGACTCCTTAGAAATGCCAGTTGGCACTGGTAGTCATTGCTTTGTCTTAAAAAAAAACTGAGAAATCTAAGTTTAGGTGTTTTGCATGGAGATGTTCTGGAGTTCAACTGTGCATCTCAAAATGGCCATTTGAAATACGAAGCTTAATTAACAAATTTAAGACTTGAGAACGAGGCAGGGAATAAAATAAATCATGTTTGGGCCTTTGTAGTCAAGGCTCTTATTTTCACTGAAAATTAACATTTTCAGAAAAAAAAAAGATTAGGAGACATTTCCACTTATGTGTCCCTTAGGAAATGGTATCTTCTTCTCTAAGGTAGCACATTAAGTTTTTTTTAAGTCCGAACCATGATAAGAAAAAAAATGGTAATGAGAGCTAACACTGATTGAAGGTTTACTATATACCAGGCACTGTTCTAGGCACTTTCCATACAGTATTTGCTTTAATCCCTACAACAACTAGGTGAATAGTGTGATCCTACAGCCCAGCTTCCTATGGGAAGTCCTGGTCTTGCATATTGTCCTGATGCCTTGGTGTAATCTAGCATTTGTTATGGATTATTCATTTTAAACAAATTATTAGTAGTTGCATTAAAACAAAATGAAATGGTTTTGGTTGATGTCTCTATTGGGTTTCTGCATGGCATAATCTTCTGGGGTGGGGGCATACATGTGCAGTGGACAAGTTCTCACTTTAACATGTAGTAAAATCTAAAAAATAAGCATCACTATCCCTGGCTTCTTGACCCTTTC